CAGGAGCCGCTTCCACTCGGTGGCAACGCGGCCGCGACTGCTGGCCGTGCTCGCGTTTCAGGTGTGCTAAGCGCGTCCGTAAAGGTGTAGTTCTGTATGCCACTCAAAAATGCATCTAGTTCTAGCTGCGGTTCTGATATCTCTACAGTTCGTGTTTTAGCAGGGAAACCATGTCTGCAATCTGGTCGAACCCGAAGACTCCTGACTAATTTCTGACTTTTTTTTTTGCTTCGCTGTTACTGCCGTTGTCATTTGCCTGTGAACTCTAACCTAAAAATCAAACTGTGCCATATTCTGAAGCCACTCGTGTTGTGCAACGTTGATTTTTGAGTGAGGCTGAAGACCGTTGCACCACATTCTTATACAAACATAAGAGGCATATTGCAAACAAAGATAAAGGGTGAAATATGTGTACAGGGCTCAAACAGGCTTTTAATCCCTGGGTTCTCCTAAAAAAAAAAAATTTAATTCATCTGTCCCACCAGCCTTGACACTACACTGAATGCTTGGGGCAGTATCTGCAAGTCCCTCTCTAGCAGGTTGTAGTTATACAAAACAAACCGGACAAGATGCTAGAATTTGAAGATATTTGCTCTTTCCATTATGAATGTATTTTTGTGTTTTCCACTGACGTAGGATCCCTCTCTCCTTTAGGGAAGAGCTAGGACTTAATCCTTTTGACTTTAAAGAATAATAAAACAGTAGTGGAGTTGTCTGTATCTAACATGTCACTCAACTTTCTAATAAAGCTGACTGCACCTTAGTATGTTCCTTTCCTCTCCGCTGCTTGTTTTCAGACTTAGCTTGATCAGCTTTTAATAGGAAATTATTTTCAGTAACTTCAATCTAGCAGAGGAATTCCCTGCATCAGGAATCGGTTTGTCTGGTTTCTGAGGACAGCTGCAGCAAAAAGGGATCTTTCTAGGAGCCCTGAACATAGGCTGGCCTGTTTGAGTCTGTGGCCTTTGTGTGTGTGGGGAAACAAAGGAAAAAACCAAGCTTTCAGCAATAGGCCCAGAAATGGAAGTGTTCACACTCTGTTTATCTGGCTTTTTTTAATCACACTGGCTTTTGTTTCCTAGTACTTCTTGTTAACTGAAACCTCAGCCTGCACTGGAGCCCAGACTCACTGCTTCATAAGCAGGCTTAGTTTAAAGACGATATTGAGTGGTTTTATTGAAATGTAGGTGAAATGGCATCACTGTTAAACAACTACCTAAGACTTGGACTCCTGTTAAGTGACTGTCTGGGGGAGCTAATAAAAGTCCTGGTTTATTAATCTGTTTGTTTTTTTTCTCTGACTTTTTACGTCGGATAGAATTAGGCAGCAGTGTGAGGTGGTTGATCTTGAATCCTGAAGAAACTTCTGCTCAGAGCTGCGAAATATAGCTTGTATAGTTGGCTGTGCTAATGTATGAGGTGAACCCTGCTAGCTCAAGTCCTGCCCATGAGCTGTGCCCCTAATGCTCTTCCTTCTGTATCAGGATGTGTGTTTTGGCTTTTTTCCTTATGCTTTGTCTCTTGTGAATGACAACTTGGCTTAAGTAATGGGAAAGAAAACTGTTCAACGGGACTGGTATTTTCTGTCCTTGCAAAAAAAAAAAAATTTATCTTGGCAGTACTGTCATATATACCACTCAAGTAACTATTCTATGTGCTAGTTTTCAAGTGTATGAGAGGGAACGGGATGTAACTAGCTCTGAAAGCATTGTCTCTTGAATCCTGAGCGTTGTGCTTTCTAACATCAGGGTGCCCTGTGGAGTCACCAGCCCCGAAGTAGATGAACAGGCTTCATATCTGATGAAAAGACTCGAGTGATTCAGAATGGGAGCTGCCCACGGACCAGTGGGGTGATCGGGGGACTATTAACTTAGTGAAGAGATTAACAAACACACCCTGTCATAGCACGCTTCCCTTCTGTGGAGCTTCAATGCCTTTGTCAGTGCTAACTCTGTCAACTTGTCCTCCTCCCTGCTCTTGACCCTTCTGCAGGAGGAAGGTGCTTATTAGCTCTTTAATTTGAAACAGTGCCTGTCTCCCGAAAACCATACTGACTGCTCATCTTCACCAGCTTTGTTAGAGGAAGGAGAGAGATTTCCACCAGCCATGTGTGTATATATGCAAACTGTTGAAAGCCGGGGACCTAGGGTTTAGACAGCACTACCAAGAAGGTATTAGCTTGAGCTAGAATAAAACTGTTGAACATCCCCCTCATTTAAAAAAATAACACTGAGGAGTTTTTGAGGAAGGTAAACTTTAGCGTACAGAGGAAAGGCAATAGCCCGAAGCCCTGTAGAAGAGCAGTTCAGAATGAGAGCAGGAAATAAATTAATTACTGAAACTGTCTGGCCAGTCACAAAAGTGACTTTCTGTGCATCCCAAAAATATGATTAAAGACCAGATAAGAGGTTTGGAAAAGATAGTTATTCTCCCTGGTCAATATGGACTTGCACAAAAGGTGTGACTGGGACATTATTAGTTGAGTAACTTTATATCACTTCATCATTGTTCTAGGAATTCCCGTATTCACTCTCTGGCTGCAGAAAGAGACTGCCAGTTCCCTAACTCCCCTCTCTGTGAAAGGGTCTGAGAATAGATTTTCCTACGTAAAGCTGATCTTTTACACCTATGTGGGGGAACAAAATGGGGATGCATCCCTTTCCCACCCCTGTGCAATTCAGTATTAAGGAGCAAAAGGTATACAGGGGATAAAGTCCAGGAATGTGGCAGGCAAAATATTGTCTCCCTTTAAAAGACTTGTTGGACATCAGTTCTTTCCAGGTGTCATGCAGAGGGTGATTTTTGGCAAGCTGGCTATTGAATTAACCAATGTAATTTGGCAGCAAAAAGCTGTCACTAGATGTGGATGGCAGCAGGTCTGTACCTTGGTGTGGGAGTAGGCAGTTACCAGTCTTATGTGCTCAGTTTACCTAAGGCAACCTAAACAGTCACTATTAAAACATGTGATTGCTCAGGAAAATTTAAAACCTCTTTCTAAAAGCGTTTGAATTCTTCCAGCCTCTCTGGCAGCCTGCTCCAACACTATGCATTTACGTACTTTGATCTTAATTTTCATTTCATTTGACTTCTTTTGATACATTAGGGCACAAACAAGTCTTATTTTGTGATTTTCAAAACTAGATAAAGTTTTATAGGCTGTAGATACTATTTACTATACTATTACTATAAATGCCTTGGCTGTTTGGAAGTCAAGCATAACTATATCGAAAAGCTCCACTTGTGTTCTGGTGCTAGGTGTTTTGAATATGGATAATAAGTTCAGTCTTCCTAAAGCAAACTCAGATCTTAACACACAAGACTACTTTCAACTAATTATTTATCTCATTGAGTGTTTATCTTGCAGGTAAAGAGAATGATCTAAGTGGCTGAATGCAGTAAGAGTGGCTGCCTTTCTAATTCAGTGTTTAAAAACCTGTCAGCCTCACTGTAATTGTGACCTTGACATCAGCTGAGCTAGAGGTGGCCCACATCTGCTTGAAATGCTTTTAATTTTAGAAGTGTTTTCAAATGTCACCGGCAAGAGAAAGTTCAGAGACAACATGTCTGTAGGGCTATGTAGTATTTAGTTTTGAAAGCAAGCTCCATGAGTGTAATGTGACCTGTGAATTACTTGTATAATGTGCTTATGTCACTGAACTCAACAACCCTCCTCCTTCTCACAGTACTTGACATGACTATTTCTATAACTATGCTGATTTTTTATTTGTCTTAGATCTTTGGTATCCATGGGAGCATCTGTGGGAGCAGTAACAAAACAGACCCTGTTCCCTCCTCTCATGCCTGCAGGGCGACCTTTCCGTGTGTCGAATGCCTCCCGAAGCAGCCGGAAAGGAATTGTTGCAAGCAGTCTGCAAGAGCTCATCAGCAAGGTATAGCAAACATTCCTGCTCTGGCTGAAACTTATAGTGAAGTACAGTATCACAGAAAGGCAACCCACAGACTCTTGTTCTTCTGAAAATCATTACTAGGGAAGTTCAGGAGAATATGTCAGATAAGCAAGTCTTAATATGAAACAATGTGCCCTCTTTTGAATGCTAAAATCTACTGGGTTTTTTGCAGACTTTAGATGCTTTCCTTATATCTGCTGGAATAGTTACTCTGGTTTTGGAGGAAGATGGCACGGTTGTGGACACAGAAGAGTTCTTCAAGTCCCTGGATGATAACGTACACTTCATGGTTCTAGAAAATGGACAGAAATGGACACAAGTAAGTGTTGACTGCCTCTCTCTCACTTGCATAGAAGTGGATGGAAGAATGTTTGTGGCTGCTAAAATTATTGGAAAGAGGGGAGAAGAGGAAGAAAACTTCGCCTAAGGAAGGCAAGGTATCAACTCCTTGTTGAGCCTTCCTGGATGACAAATCAAGTTAATTTTTTTGTCCCTTGCTTGGACATACAATTGTTGGCAAAGATCTGCCAAGAATTAAAATGAAACATTGCAACTGAAGAGAATTAGAGGGGAAATCCCCTGCTTTTGGAGAGCCTCAGAAATAACTTTGTTCTTGAGCCTTTTTGTAACATAAAGAAAATTAGGACTTGACAGCATGAAGTTAAAAATACGTCTTTAAAGGTTAGCTTTTAGAGGGGGAAAAAATGCCCAAATTAAGCAATGTAAAACAGGTTTTGCCTTGTGAATGCAGTAGTGGTTTAGTGAAGGTTAGAAAAATGCCTGTGTTTAATCTTGCAAACAGCTAAAAGTTGTCATCAAAACCTAATGTTAATCTACATGCTTCAAGATATTTTAAGAACTATTAAGATTGGCTAGCTTTAGCCTTCTAATCATATCAACTCTGTGTCCAATTTGTGGTTTTGTGGGGGAATAGTCACAGAATCATAGAATAGTTTGGGTTGGAAGGGACCTCTAAAGGTCATCTAGTCCAACCCCCCTACCGTGGGCAGGGACATCTTCAACTAGATCAGGTTGCTCAGAGCCCCATCCAACCTGACCTTGACGTCACCTGTACATTAACAAGATAATGTCAAACTCCTAATTGTCTTTCCATGAAATGGTTGTTGCTAGAAAGCTAGCATCAAAAGTTCTTCTACCAGGTGCAGAGCTAGCTGAGGAGCTGTAAGCAGGCCTACCATTTTTCTGTTTGTACACAGATGGCTCAATTGTGTGGCCCAGTTTTCTCAGTCTCCTGTTGCAGTGTAGGCAGTTTGTATGTTTTTCCGCAAGATACCTCACTGGCTTATCAACCTGCTGCATCTGGGCCATGAGCTCCAAGAGCAAAAAATAAGTTGCAGCCAGGGTATGACTCCACCTTGCTCCTTTCCCCTCTGCACTGTGTCCTGTCTGGCATGGCAGCAGAACAAGTTTGAATGCTGCCCCTCTTCAGGATGTGCTGAGTGACAGCAGAAGGACTGCCGCAGCATCACAAATCATCTGGAGTGTAGCACAAGCTCTGTCATGCTTTATCCAAATATTCTGGGTGCTAATGGGGGGGCAGGGGGGGAGATATACTCTAGCAAGCATACCAACTACTTGTACATGTCCAAAACTGTTGTTGATAAGGGGCCCTGTTGCTGGAGCTCAGAGGCTATCGAAGTAAAACAGGCATAAAATTGCTGGCTAATGATATACTACAGTGTTTAACTTGGTCTGACTTATCATGGTCTGTCTGAGCGCTGGGGTGATAAGTACAAAAAGGCCCAGCCTTACACAACTTTATTGCTCCATTTAGCATGCAAAAAACAGCTTGGCAGCTGCCAAGTCATAACCTTGAGCGGAATGTGCTGAGCAGAGTATCCCATGTATCCACTAGATGTCTCTGTAAATATGGGCTTTCATTACTATTTTCTTTTTTCTTGAAGCAAGCTATCCTGAAAGCATCACTGTCAGCCCTGAAGCAGACAAGGGCTGCTTTCAGTGAAGGAGGCTGGATTTAAGGTGGAAGATGACTTTCCACAGTCCTCTTCCTTTGCTTTTTCTCTTAAAAAACCCTCAGTATTAAACCCTGGGCCTAATCAGTAGTGGTTCCCTCCCCATGTTACTTTTTTAATAGGAAGAAAGCCAGGATTTGAAATGAGGACCTGACTTTTCACAGATGTCATCTTTGCAGCTATCTCTAAGAGTGCTCATCAGTAGTGTGTTCCTTCCTAAATGGAAGGACCTAATATCGTCCTGGTAATTTGGTGGCCTGTTTCTGTGTGGACTAACTGTGCTGCCTCAGCTAGCAGCTGGAACATACCAGGATAATTAAATGGCAGGAATACTGTCCAGTGGCATTACCTGTGGCTTCAGTATATCCTGAAGAAGAAGCTGTATTACAGGAAAGAAATATTCAGGAGGTGCTGTGTCACTCTGGAACTTCTGTGTCTGTTTGGAATAGCTTCAGTCAGGACTTGAACAAAATTACGTAAGCCACAGACTTGCTTTTCTCTGTGCTAATGCTTTCAATTCTAGTTTAGAATTGATTGAGAACTAGCCCAAAGATTGGAATAAGCAAGCTGCTTCTAAAGAGCTGCACTGTTAACGATTGTCTTGCTGTAGTTTCCTGGCTCATGGTACAAACTGTCTCTTCCTCTTTTTAAATTAGACAAGAAATGGAGTCACTGCTGTGAGACAAAAGAAGAAAAGGGGAGTAGCTAACATCACATTTGATCTGTACAAGGTGAACCCTAAGGATTTTATTGGCTGCTTAAACATCAAGGCAACCTTCTATGAGATCTACTCTGTCTCATATGACATCAAATGTATGGGAGCAAAAAGTGTATTGCGGTAAGTACGTTTCCACTACTGAGCAGGCATATGTGTTAATGTAAAATCTGTGTTTGCTTATTGGTTCTGTGAAGCAGGTGTGTTTATAAATTTAGTATTTTTATTAATTCTTACATACTGGCCAATATGCTGACTCTTCCTTTGTAAGGTGGATAGCTGACTTGTAAAAACTTACTATAGCTTTTTATGGTGGAATCTTAAATTTCCCCCAAGGCAAAATCTTATCAGCTTGTATTTACTGCAAGGGTGTAGGTAGAGTCTCTTTGTTTTCCTGAGAGAATTTCCCCAGATTCCTTTGACTTGTTTGAAGAATGCAGGAGGCTGAGGAAGAAGCATTGGACTCTTTGAAGGGGGAACTTCAAGGGGATGAAATGAGAGGAATTTGAGATCTAATGGCAGAGGTCTTAAAGCTTGCTCAGACTTTGCAATACCTGGCTGCTAAATTCACCACCTGAGCTTACACGGAGGCAAAGGAAAATGGAAGAGATATGACACTCTCCACTGTCATAATGTGAATTTGTCATCTGTAGTAAGACTGTGTGATATCACTGTTTTAAAGCCAACTGGTCTCTGAGCAAACTAATGGAGCCTAACAAGGACCGCTGTCTCCTGCAGGACCAGTCTGGTGGGTTGTGAGTTTGGTAGAACTGGCTGTTGGGAAATGCTGTCTTCTGCAGGGGCAAAATAATACCTGTCCTGTCCACTGCTTTCAACAGTGTGCTGAAAGTCTGTGCCTTGTCAAAACCAGCTGTGTCCTGCCGTGGTTGAAGAAAACTTCTTCTGAGTTCAGACTCCTTCACAGAGGTGCCATACTTTGACAGCTGTTTAAGCTGCAGCCCTGAATTTCTCTACCTGACCTTTCAAATTCTGGTTGAGACACAGTGGTGTAGTGTTGTTGCATTTTACTTGAGGACCAGATCTGCTCTGTACAGAACAGACAGGTGTATATGCCTGTAAGTGAGGTTTTCACTTCCCCTGAGCAACACACAGTCTTTAGTTTGAAGTCTTCAAATAGTCCCTCCTCTCATGATGCAGGTATTAAGCATTGTAATGCTAATCTTGTTCCCTGTCTTTCTGTCTGACTGACCTCTCCCACTCTACTTAGGTGGTCCCTTGCTTAATCTTTCAGGCTACAGCTGGTGTGACTGTAGATGAGACTCATCTCTCTGGTCATGCTGCAGTGATTATCCAGCTATATGCTATGCCCACCTGTAGCACTGGCTTCATTAGCGTTTCTTCAAAGCAGTCTTACGCTTGAACAGCTGCACTCCTCCAGTTGCTATGTTTGTCAAGTCTCTTGAGCCAGAACAAACTCTGATTTCTGGCTATCTGCTTTGGAGATGAGTATCAGCACTGGAACTTGCACTGTTAAGAAGAATTTGAAGGGATAGTTCTGCCTCCCTGCCAACACAGGGCAGCTGGTGAGAAAGAAATGGTACTGGTGAACAGCTGAAGTAGCTGTGGAGTTCTTCTGGAAGCACTGTTATGTTAGAGTTGAGCTGTGAGGGAAGTGCCAGTGTCAGGGTGGGAAAGTAGTCTGCTAGCAAAGAACAAGAATGACAGAAGAGATAACCTTGGGTACTCTTGAACACAACAGTGAGATGGGCCTGTCTCAACTTGCTATTGAAATTGAAGACAGATGATGTTAGGTTCTTGGTGTAGTCCCTCTGCTAATGAGTTCCAAATTGCTAACTCTGATGCCCTCTCCCCGAGCCCACCTGTGCAGTGTGAAGGGAAAGGACTTTAAAATGCTGCAGTTGTTCATTGGTGGGAGCGGCTCAAAGCCTGCCAGATCTGGTTAGTGCATTTCCCCTAAGAGTTTCTCCCTGTAGTGTCCAACTGAAGGATCAGATGTCCAGTTCAACAAGTAACTTCCTCCATGGCTTAAGTGACAACTGCTCTTGTGTGCAAGTGACACACTGCAGCTGCTCAAAAGCTTGGTACCAGGTGCAGCTTTCCTTACAACCGTAAAGCTCCTTGGCCTGTACTATCTGGTGGAGGGAAGGACGTACTGAATTGGCATATGTGTGGGAAGCATGAACAAAGGTACAGTGTTTTTTTTTAAAAGGGTTCCTAGGTTCTAAGTACAGGGTATTCTACTCTTTTGAAGCATTGGATTTTGACTGCAAACCTTCTTTCATCACAGAGGAAAAAACTGAATTTGTAGGAAGAAGACTTTGCCTTCTCTGGTAGAGCTCAAAGGAGAAGTGAATAGCAGCAGAGGGTTCACAGCTGCATGTTTTCTCAGACAGGAATTCAGAAAATCTTCCCTCTTTTTTGCAGAAGAGGAAGGCTGGTCTGGTTTCTGCATCTTCAGAAACTGATCCCTTTCCAGTTTTGGAATGGTTCCAGTTCTTGCGTACAACTTCCCCAATGCCTCAGCTTCATATTTGTGAGGGCCTACTTAACTTTCAGGGATGAGGCTTTGAATATAGCTCTGAGCACTGATATCCCAATTGTTTCTTGGAGAATGGAAGGAAGACACGGGTATAACTACATTGAATATATGACCACTCAAATACGATGATCTCTATTCCTCTGTGATCTTGTGGTGATCCACAGTCTATATTGTAGACCTCTGATGCTTGCCTGATCTTAGTTTATGGATCTGTACTGATTGTCACACAGTATTGTATATTTGAATGCTGATACTTACTAAAACTTTAAAAAAATAGAATAGTTGCGAACTGAGAATTCTTAAGGCTTGCAGCTTGGACAGTAGTAATTCACCTGGCTTCATTTGTTTTGCTGTTGGGCATCCACTGTAATGTGATTGCTCAGCTTCAGATCTAATCAAGTTTGATCTGTAGCTTGGAGATATATGCAGTGTTGTATTAGTGAATGGCCTAAAGGTGAGACGCGAGGTGGATTCATGCTGCAGGAATGCTGCTGGGCTCCCAGGCAAAGTTAAGTCTTCAGTGGTGCTCCGGTAGTTTGAGTGATGGCTTTGCAGAAGGCCTGTAAATGTCTAACAGGATGACAGCCGCCTTTGTTAAATGTGTTTTCTGGTTCTGCCAACATGTCAATAGTTTTCTGTCAATCAATGGCCACAGAAGTATTTGCTCTAAAGAAGGTACAAAAATGACCAGCTTCTCAGAAGTGAGGAGGAATGAGAGAGTTCTTAAATATATCTATCTAACTCATCCTAAAGTGTTGGGAATGACCAGCTTCTCAGAAGTGAGGAGGAATGAGAGAGTTCTTAGATATATCTATCTAACTCATCCTAAAGGTGTTGGGGGGGGATGGGGCAATGTCACCCTGTTGGTGAAATTTTTTTTTAACAAATGGCTTTTCTTCTAGGAAGGTGCTTCAGCTAATGTCCCATGCAGCACAAATAACTGGACAGTTTCTTCTCTATACTGGAACGTATATGTTGCAGTTGATGGGTGAATATGATGAAGATGGCACGTGTACAAGATCAAGGCGGGAGTAGTGAACACAGATGCACTTTTGATATTGGATCCTTTTGCTTAAAGATATTCTCTTGCCCCATTTTGATTGTAATGATGTTATAGTAGGGGATGTCCACTGATGTGAACTAACATTTTTCCCATTTGGGAATGCTTGTAGGCCTTAGTCATAAAATAAGCGTTTGGTGTTCACAGGCTCTTAACGCAGCAAAAGGATGGGTGCCTAATGTCTGAGAATTTGGCAAAAGGAGAGAGGGCAATTTTTTGCCCCAGCAACTCAAAATGGAGAATAAGTATACTTGGAAACTTGCATGCTTTGTAACCAGTGGGGTATTTCTTGCACCGATCAAAACGTAGTTTGGTTGGGTTTTTTAATGGCTGTCTACTTGCCTTCTGAACAGACTGGTCTGTAAGGTGGGGGTGGGGGAGCTGTGGTTTTTTGGTTTTTAATCCTTAACAGTGCTGGTATTAGTGTCCAACTGGCATTGAGGTACAAAATGGTGAAGTGTAGTTATTTACTTCTGCTACCAATGGAAATACACACACAATACAACTGAATCCTGGTTCAGTGACTGACCACTCTCATGAAGTCTAATTGGAGAAAGTGCAACTACTAAGCAGAAGCTTAAAATTTAGCCTTACTTCCCTTAAAACAAGTGAAAACATTTCATTTTAACTCTTTATATTTTTCTTCAAATCTACAGAAAGTTCAGGTTAGTATAGCTCATACCAGTTGAAGAAACTGATATTTCTTTGATGGTTCTGATGTCCAGTTCTGCCTGAAGTATTGAATAATTTGCCATAGTTTCATGACCATGGCTTACAAGCAACCTGCTGAAGCTTCCTTCAGGGGTGTTAAACCATCACTAATGTAGTTTTTACCGTTCAGTTGCAAGATGACACTACATCCCAAGCTGTACTTCAGGTACATGCAGCATGGATCTGTAAGACATGCTGGATTTTGATGCCCCTGTGTTCAGGGGAGAGCAGCAGGACACTATCCGGTCTTGTGTAACATACATATGCTCTAAACTGGATATTTGCGGTTTTATAGTCTCCCAAGACAAGCTGTATTAAAGGGCAAAGTTTTTAATCCTTAGGTAGAATTGTCCAGAATGTTTTCTACAGTTTAGTGAACTGCTAGGATGACCAGCTTTCAGCAAGCTTTTCCTCAACAGTGTAGAAAACTGGAAAGCGAGCAGTGTCGGGCATCTTGTGTCAAAATACAGAATCCCATTGCTGAAGAGAAAAGCCCAACTTTGGTTGTTCATAGGTGTGGCTTTTGAGGCTTTCATTTGCTTGCTCATGAGGAATTTTAGTAAGTTATATTCTTAACAGCTTTCAGTCTTAAGTAAGGAGACAGCAGATACAGGTAATGTATCTGACCTGATGGCAGGTGCCACCTAGGAGGAGAAGCTCTGGTGACAGAGTGAACAAGTGGGGCAGGGGAAAGAAAGCAGTGGGAGCAAAAGGGAAAAGGACCAATGTGGAACCCCCAGTGCTTGCCATGCCTCTGCTGAGAGAGGAATCCGTTAACTATGTGCATCAACTGCACTGGTTAGTTGGAGGAAAACCTAAGCAGGCGGACTGAAAAGGCCGAGCAGCGTGGTTGGTGGGATCCATTCTGACCTGTCAGCTGGATCTGTTCGCTTCAAATGTCACTAATACGTGGGAATATTGGTCTTGCTTTAATCTGCAAATTTCACCTTCATATGCTTATTATTGCCTTCCCTTTATGGATGTGACTTAGCCAGCTGAAGCTGCACCTTTCAAATCACTGTTGTGATGAAAAGCAGCCTAAATCCAAGTGTTAAAGGGACTGATGGACACAAGCTCACTAGGTCTCTGCCTGTCTCTTCAGTAAAGGTATTACAAATAAGTAGATAGCTAAGAAAAACCTTGTTTTTCTCCTGATTTCTGTTGTTTCCCACTTACTTCTGAGCGTTTGCTGGAGTCGGGGAGGGCACACAGCTCTGGGCAAGGGGCGAACTGGTTCTTTCCTAATTTCTCCCAGGGAAGAATGCCTGTAACTTGCAGCACTGTCAGGTTTCCTTCAGAAGAAAACAGTAAACTGTTCTGTGAGTAATGCAAAAGAGGTTATGTTAAAATGGAAGCTTTACACTTCAGCTGTATTGTTTTTACCACCCCACCCCAAGTGATTGTTGCCATGATAACTGTTGGCCAAAGTCTTTCTATCCCTATCAAGGAATTGCATTTAACTGAGGCAGTGCAAGGACTTTGTCATTAATTCTTTTGGCTTTTAAGGACCACTTATTCTATTAAAACAAGCACATCTGTAGAAAGCAAACTCTATCTAGCGTTCCTAAGAATATTTATGTTGATAATGGTGGGAGCACCAACATTAAAAAAAAAAAAACAACTTGCATAGTTCAATATTGCATTAATTTGTGTGAAATGCCTCTTCAACATCTGTAATAAAAAAGCTTTTGCAAGTCTGAACTGTGCAGATATCAAATTCCAGCCTTCTATAGCCAGAGGCAATTGTTACAGAAGTAACACTGCGTAGTTTCCAATGGTACTATCTTAGAACTTAACGTGATCTAAAAGGCTAACTCAGTATGAATTTGCAATGTTTTTAGGCAGCTGCTTCTTGGCAGCTGAACACTTGAGCTGCTGAAGGTCATGTGAGCTGCAAAGTCTCCATCTTGGAGCATCTCCCTCCTCTAATTCAAAATGCAAACAGCTGAACAAAGTAACTTGCTTTGATATTTCTCTCAAAATGGAGTGTCTTGCAATGTTATAAGTGTCTGAAATTTTCATTGCCTCTGAATCTGGGTTTTGCCACAGGCTTAGTATTTGGGGAACAATATTTGCTACTGTACCAACTTCTTTCCAGTGATAAAGTTTTGGCTTTGGGTCAAACTGGAGGAGTTTGTAATTCTCTGAGTTGGAGTCAGTTTGATTTCCCCCCCCCGACTGCTTAGGAGGCATAGCTTTTACTTCAGCTGTATGTGGTACACGGCAAAGAACAACTTCATCATTATCTAGCTTTCAGAAAATTATACACAAGTGGTGTATGATATCTAGCAAGAGACAGAAAAACTAAAAGCACAGGCTCTTAACTGCAGGTATGTAGAGAAGAAGCTAGCTTTTCTACTTGACACTTTTAGATTTGATTTTTCTTTCCATAAACTCATTAATCTGCACTTGTTACTGTTGCAGTCAAGGCTGGTAGCACTGACATGTTGAAGCTGTGAAACGTGTTTACTGCCTCCTTGCTTGCTGCACTGGCTCTTTTTGCCTGTTGCTTTGCATCACTTACTAACAATGCACCAAGTCATACTCTCTAGTTACCAAAAAAGGAATTTTCGCTGAAGTACTCAATCTTGTTGACTCAGGCACTGTTCACGTTCTGCAGGCAAAACAAAGTTGCTCTCTTCATGACTAGAATGAAGGATCCAGTAGCTTTTTGTGTGTGTGTAATTTATCATTACTTCATTTCCTTCCTTTCATAAACCCATGAAGCTGTTGCTTTCTTGCACCTTCCTAGTCATTCAGGAGAAATAGGATTACAAGTTGTTCTGTCCAGGGGGAAAAGAAGAGGCAGGGTCTAAATTCCTTAGACCGTTTGGAATATGTTCTAGGAAACATCCTGAACCCCTTCCCTACAGAGAAGGGAAGGGTAAAGAAAAGAAAATAGGACTTTGGGCTGGAAGTTTTTTCAATACAGTGAGTAGAGAGGTAGGTATTCACAATTTAGGAAAAGTTGGTAATTCTGAATATTAACTGTGAAGATAACTACATATGATCATTTGTACCTGACTAGAATTACAACTCTAAATCACTTCAGTATGCTTCTTCCTGAGATAGCACTTGAACTAAAGGCACAAGCTTCTTTAATTAAAAACAAAAGAAAGTTTAAAACCAAAGTACATTTTTTACTTGATGCCTCAAGTTTTACTGGAGGTATTAATGTGATTAACATACCACTTCAGTTACATATTAGTAAGTATCCTTGTGGGGTTTAGCGTTTATCACTGCTTTCTCTACCTTACCTTGTCATATATGCAGTTAAGATATTTATTAACATGAGCATTGCTGTTTTGCTAAGGGGAAAAAGATAGTATTTTACCACTTCACAGCTTTCAAGCTCAGTAGTTTAACTTGCTATGAAAATTGAGATGGGTGAGAATTATGTGTCAGTGATGGCAATATTTTCTGATGGTGGTGCCAATTTTAAGGAACACTGCCCGTGAATAAATAAATTCAAACGGTGGCTTTGGATGTTGTCTCTATTAATTTCCAGAATAACTTATTCCTGAAATAATCATGAATGTTAGTGGATCTATGGTCTGCCACAGTTTCCAAATGCTGGACTGCAGCGGTGAAGTAACTGGATACTATTATGTGGCTCTGAACTCTTAACTCCTTACTGCTGACTCACTTTCTGGCCTCAGAGAAACCATGCAAACTGTGTTTCCTTTCATACAAAAGGGAATGCCTTCCTCCATCTTTTACCGAAGCTGCAAAAGACTACAAACTGCTGAGTACAGGAGGTAGAAGGCTTCAGCAATCTCTGGTTTCCACCAAATACTGTAAGGATCAAGGACCTCTTTATAATGCCTCACGTCATTTACCTACAGATACAGTAGTACACACTTGATTGCAGGGAAATATGAATTTATTTAGTGGAATATTAGATTTGTCTAGTTCATGATTAACTTAGTCTTCAGGAGGAATAGCATGTGAGTGTGATCAATCTAGTGTACTTCTATCTAATAAGTACATCCTATACTCAGCTTAAGGGACAGTTTTGCAGAGCTTGACTATTGAGCAGTTCCTCTCATGGGAGAACCAAGGTCCGATTTCTTGCTGTGGAAAAGCACGAAAGAGCACTGTTTGGTTTAGTGGCAAGGTGTTGGCAGTGGGGGGGTGAAGGGATGCTGTGGGGGTGGCCTCTGTGTTGTACAGAGCTGCTTCCAGCTGGCTCCAAAATGAACCCACCATTGCCCAAAGCTGAGCCCTTCAGCCAAGTTGGTGGCACCTCTGTGGAAACATATTTAAGAAAGGGTAAAAAAATGCTGTGCAGCAGCTGTAAGAGGACTGAGAAAAATGTGAGAGAAACAGCCCTGCAGACACCAAGGTCAGAAAAGAAGGAGGGGGAGGAGGTGCTCCAGGTGCTGGAGCAGAGCTTCTCCTGCAGCCCATGGAGAAGACCACGATGAAGAAAGTTGTCACCCTGCAGCCCATGGAGGACCCCATGCCACAGCAAGGTGGACGTGCATTGAAGGAAGCTGCAGCCTGTGGAGAGCCCATGCAGGAGCAGGCTCCTGGCAAGAGCCATGGCCTGTGTAGGGAAACCCAAGCAGGAGCAGGTTTTCTGGCAGGACCTGTGGCCCATGGGGGACCTGCACTGGAGCAGTCTGTTCCTGAATGGCTGCACCCCATGGAAAGGGCACATGCTCGAACAGTTCCTGAAGGACTGTATCCTGTGGGGAGGGCCCATGCTGGAGCAGAGGGAAAGTGTGAGAAGGAAGAAGCAGCAGAGAGGAACTGTTGTGGACTGACCATGACCCCCATCCCCCTGCCCTGTTTGGGGCCAGGGAGAGGAGGTAGAAGAGTTGGGAATGAAGGAGTGAAGTTGAGCTTGGGAAGAAACAGGGGAGGGGGGAAGGTGGTTTTAGTTTTGTCTTTTTTTTCTTACCATCCTACTCTATTTTTAATTGACAATAAATTAATTTAGTCTTCCCCAAGTCAAGTCTCTTTTGCCTGTGACAGTAATTGGTGAGTGATCTCCCTGTCTTTATCTCAGCCTACAAGCTTTTTCGTCTTATTTTCTCCCCATGTCCTGTTGAGGAGACGGAGTGAGAGCACTGCTCAGTGGGCACCTGGCAGCCAGCCAAGGTTAACCCACCATAAGCACAAAGCACTAAAAGTAAGAATAAGCAAAAAACAAGCTGCCTGTGCTATAGGTGGACAGTAAAACTGGAAGCCAATCTTTTGGAGTGTTTTCTGAATGGCTTTTCACAGCTCTGTGTTTGCAGAGACACACTCCTGTCATCCACAGGACAGGGTTAATAGTCTCAGTTGTCATGATACAAACGATTTACTGACCTCAATCTCAAGCGTGGGTTTTCTAAGGTCACCCATCAATCTGAATCATTCATAGTAGGCTCCATTACTAATGTATTCTTGGTTAGGAATATTTATTAATAAATATTAATTATCATTTGAAAGAGAACATTGAAATAGTACTGTTGTTTTATAAAATAGCTAATGAAATGTAACACTAAAAATACAGTATGTCTTAATAGACTCCAGAATCAGGATAATGCATTCCATGCAGTTCCAACATAAAAAGTTGATTGATCATCAGTTTTCTAAAAAGTCTGTTTTAATCATTAGCATACATTATGTATAGATTAGGTTTGGGGTTTTTTTAAGTAATATAACTATTGTCACTGGTTGGTTGTGAGTCTGTTGTGTGTTAAGAAAAAAAAAAGCTTAGATCCTCAGACAACTATATTTAAGAAAACAGTAGCGTAATGATGTGGGTAGTCAGTCTATTATAGACCCAGAGAAATCTCAGACATCTAAGAAGTCCTTTAAAGTCTTAAAGTTAGGTATTATTTCTGACGACACATTTTGTAATTACACCGTGCAGTCCATAATCCTTTATGTTTTAAGTAATATAACTATTGTCACTGGTTGGTTGTGAGTCTGTTGTGTGTTAAGAAAAAAAAAAGCTTAGATCCTCAGACAACTATATTTAAGAAAACAGTAGCGTAATGATGTGGGTAGTCAGTCTATTATAGACCCAGAGAAATCTCAGACATCTAAGAAGTCCTTTAAAGTCTTAAAGTTAGGTATAATTATTTCTGACACATTTTGTAATTACACCGTGCAGTCCATAATCCTTTATGTTAAAAGCACTTCTAATTAGAAAGCATCTTCCATTGCATAGGTAGGTGTCTTCATTTGCTGCTGCTCTTTATTAAGTGGTGTTTTCAAATGCTCTTCCCCCACCTCAAAAAGCAGAAGAGAATAAGCAAGAAAACAATAAATAATTTTATTTAAGTATAAGAAGGACTACTGATTTATTATTGAACTAGACAAACTGAAGTCTACAGTGTTCTCTATTTTATTCCTGAAAAGCTAAAGTGCAAGTGGCATTATTTCAGTGATTCCTGTACCAAATGTGCCTAATTTAGGTGCCCTCCCAGTTGCAGATTTCCTGCTGTTTTGCCAGCTTAGGGATGTTGCCTAGAAAATCTGCCTAGAACAGTTGCAGAATATTGTTCTAATCTGCACTCACCTCCCCGAGTGATCATGCTTTCCAAATAAAAGTCACTATCTTCCAGAATAACTGATGTGTTTTCAGATGCAATTGATTATTCAACAATAAACCCATTTTATCTGAAATCAGAAATTACTGAATAGTTGCTGCAAATAGCTAGCTATTTCAGTCTCCCAGAAAAGCCGTTTCATCTTTGCATGGGATGATCAAGCTGGTTTTCCTCATCATTATAAGCATTGTCTGCAAACTACATTAAGATCAGAATTTCATCTAGATAAGAAAAGTACAGTCTCTCATAGTTTCAACTCTGTGACCACTGAATTCAGTAAAGAATTCTCTCAATTCCTCCTAGTCTTATCTGGCCCTAACATGGTACCGTGTTTAGTTTTCACAAGAGTTGTGATCAGTGAAAACAAAGCAGGTTTTGTCACTAGCAGCATCAGCAATGACTAAAGGCAGTAGCAATCTAATGGATAAAAGTCACTTTTGTTTCTATGACTTCTACCTCTTCAAAGGGTTGGGAGGTTTTTTTGGTTTGGTTTTGGCATTTGTTTGTTTTTTGGTTTTGTTTCCCCAGAAAATTCCAACTGCTACATTCTGGTTTTCACTTGGAAGCTCCCAGCACTTTTTGCACTGCTCTTGTTTTCCTTCATCTAAACTTTTCTCTATGTCTGATGCCGTTCCCCGGACGTCACCAGCTTCAAGCACTCGATTCCTTCAGCTATTTTTCTGTCTTGCTCTCGTGACTCCTTTACAGATGTGACCTGTTATGTTGTTCCTCTTGTGGCCTTTCGTCTCCTTTTTCCAGATTCCCTTTGGCCACATTCAAACTAAGAATACTTAATGACTGAGGAAGTGGTGGGAGCAGGTGTTTAAGCAAATGTAAATTTAAAAAAAAGACATTTATATCTGTCTTGCTCTATCTGTAGTTCATATTGTCTTTTATATAGAACTGGTCAGCCTCCTTGTTTATGTAGCATTTTTAGCTTAACTGTCTTCCATACTAACCAAGCTGCTGTCCTGAGATAAAAAGCTTTTGACTGCTTAGAGCTGCGCCCTATTCCTGACAGATCATACAGGCCACACATAATATGAAGTCCCTATTCAGTACAGAGACAGGACACCACAATGAAATCGTCCTACACAACAGAGATGTATCTCTCTGCAAATCTTCTGTGCACAGGCAACAACTGCATCTCCACACCCTTCCTGCAAAGCAATGGCATTCAATTGTGCCGTCAACGTATACTGTAACCCCATATCCTCCTGTATTCTGGTACACTGTTTAACAAACGGACCGTGAAACGGATTATTCACCATGGGCGGGCAGTGGGTTGAGTCCTGGCCACAGGCCAGACTGACCACTTACATTCTTAGCATTCATAAGCCTTTAAATCATTAATATGATAATGCTGCTAATAGGCTGCAGTCCGAGGCAACAGGGCCGTACACTCTCAGTCTCACTGCTGCAGAGTGGTTTTCTAAAAGAAAAATGATCGGTTCTCTGTGTGTAAATGCTGTCTTCCCCTCCTAATTCCTGATCGGTTGCTCTCGGAGTATCCTGCTCAGAGGGGGGTGCTTCAGTGCAGTGAGTACCAGACCACATTCCTTCAGTGGCTGTACCCACCCACCCTTGACAATGCTGCGGATTGCGCTGTTAAAAATAAGCCAGGCTTTGTCCAGTCATAGCTTCTGCTGTGCTGTTTGTACTGGGACTGGTGGACTTGTGAGGAATGGTGCTCTTCTCTTTGCAAATGTAATCTGAGAGAATCATTTGTCAAGCAGCGTAGAAACGGTATGCTGATTTGGTTTGGACACGTGCGACAGATGAATAGGATCTATGCTGGTGAGGGAAGGGTGGCAGCCAGGAGCCACTCACCACCTGAGAAAAAAGGTAAGGCAGAAAACTGTGACTCACCTGTGAAACCCAAGACCTGACCGGAGCAATTTATAATTGATTTTAGCTGCAAAACTGCTTT